CTATAGAAAGAGCAAGGTAGAATTCATCATGTCTCTAGAGAGTTCTAACCAGACTGAGAGGACAGAGACGGCCTGTCAGATGGAAGAAACCAGCTCAGGAAAAGAAGATATGAACTCCACCAACAGGAACTCAGAGACCTTTGGGCACTGAGCAGGGTTCAGAGAACTCCCAGGAACTAGAGTACATACATAAGGACAGAAATAAAGAAACAGCAGCTTTGGGGCTGGAGAAGTGGCTCAGTGTTTGCAGGCACTTGCTGACCTTTAAGAGGACCAGAGTTAATTTTCCAGCACCCACACTGTGGCCTATAACTGTTCATAACTACAATTCTAGGGGATCTTTGTGCACACCAGTAACACATAATACACAGACAAAACACCCATATACATAAAATAAAATAATTTTTTTAAAAAGCAATGGCTTAAAATGTCACACTTTGGTGAAAATTAGTGGACCATTATCTAAATTGGAGGGCAAGTGATGACAAGAAGAAGGGTCAAGCACCGTCCTGTGAAAGCTCCCTGTGACATACAAGGACAGCAAGAGAGGGTGCACATATGGAGAGGGTGGCAGTGTGGGGCTCTACTTCTTGATTAACGGTGCTTTAAAAAAAACCTGACCTGAAAAATAGTGCTTTCGCACAGAAGTTTTCTAGAAAATGTTACTCATTTTGTACCTAAATAATTGAAAGCAACAAATATATACCACACATATTGAATCTACAAAGGTCTCAAGCAAGACATTTCTAAACAAATCATAAATAGTACCATTAAAATATTTGTTTTGATTCTGGACTCAGAGTCACAGCTAATAAACAAGTGTGGGAATGTGAAATTAAAAAACAAACTGAACACAGCTGCTCAACAAGAAGTTTCACAAATCTATTTACTGGCATCCCTTAATTTCATTTCTCAAAGGTCCCACAGAACACAGAGCCACCAGTCACCCACCAACTGGTCTACTTTCCTAGTTAATCCGCATGGTGGTGGAACTCCATTATGCACACTTTACAGTTTTTTTAACATTGCCCAGGAGATGGACCAAGGTATGGCTTGTTCTTACTCCTGTTGTTCAGAACATTTTTATACAACTGTCTTCTAAGACTATGTCTCCTTTTAAGAAAAAGACTAGAACTTCTTTATATCTTATCACTGAGTGCTGGAGTGCGAAGGGACAGCTTTAGAAACAAAACACTACCAACTTCTTTTGTATGGCTTGATTGTTTAAAAGCCTCCCTAAACTTCAGTAGAGGGTCTATAACCTACAGTTCAAATTAAAAAACCAATAAATTAAAGAAAAACATAATTAAATAAGTCAATTTAAGGACAAAAAAATACACATTGCATTAAGATCCACTCAAATTATACAACTCACTCACTACCTAACAATATAATTCTGCCAGTGGAGTAAAAAAATTCATTTTATATTATCACACTTACTACCCAGCTTAGTAGTGTGTTTGTAAGGGAGAATTCAAATGGAAATTAACAAGAAGCACTTCATCTTCCCTGAATTTTTTAACTATATGGAGGAGAGGGACTCACAGCGACCTATTTAGATATCTGTGCACATAACTAACAAGAGCACATCATGTGTTAACATGCACACCTAAATTCAAGAAGTAATAGACAGCACTGAGAACCAGAAAACACACTAATGAAATCTGGGAATGATAGAACAAGCCTATGCCCCACCATCCCAAGCTAAGAATGGAGGCCAGCCTGGGCTACATATGAGAGAAAAGAAAGGAGGTCACCTGATGACAGGCACTGATTAAAGGGCACTATGGTTAACCAAGCGACTCTTTTGTAAGAAACTGAATAGCTTCCAATTAATACTTGCTTTAAAATTGGAAAAATAATCCAGGTTTCCAAATCATCGACAATTGCATCATAGACAAACTGACTGTTTTCTATCCTCTTGCTCTTCATTAAGTAACAGTAGCATTCACAACAGGGTAAGTATCCAGAGCAAAACAGTAATGACCTCAGAAGAAATGCAAGCAACTGCACACACCTCTGTCAGGGCTGGAGATGGAGCACTTGCTGATCTTGAAAAGGACTCGGGGTCAGCCCACACACACACAGATCACTGTCGGTAACACCAGTTCTAGAGGACCCATGCCTTGTGTCCCCACGGCACTGCATGCACATGACATATACGCAGGAAAGACAAATACACACATGTAGTTTTTGAAACTCTGCCTGCCAACTAAAACAACACTGTTCAAACTGAGCAAGCCTTCATTAGAAAATCATTACCTAAATCAAACACAGAAAACATTTCTAAAACCCTACCAAAATAACGCACACTCAAAAATCAACGAGCTTTTAAGAAACTCAGTTGTGCAGTGCAGCAGACGAGCACTGAGCTCCTCACCCCATTCGCCAGCAGCGTTTACTTCTACACAAGCAACAGCGTTGTTACTTCCAAGCTAAGCATCTTTCAGTCAACATTTAGAACTGATATCCTTTTCAAGATCTGCCTCCCCCAAATTATGACACCTCCAAAAGGCACTAATTTTTATTTCAACCAGCATCCTGTCTTTCTGCCACATAGTATTTACTTTATCTTCTTTGTTAAGACCCCACCTTAAAAGAAGATTGTACTAGAGAAATTGTCACTTCAACAGTGTCACCATGTCTTGACAGGACACTATAAGGAGACATTGGCCAAAGAAAACATTGAGATAAAAACGCTATAATCAGAATTTATTATTTTGACAATTTAAAAAAATACCAAAAATCCTTCTCAAAAAATGGAAAAGCTTAGGGGCCAATTCATTAGAATAATATTTATTAAAAAGGCAAAATAACCACTTCAGATTTTAAAAAGTAAGCAGCTAGACTTGATCTTAATGGTGGGTTACTTGCCTAACACTTGGGATGCCCTGGTTACAATCCTCAGCACCACAAAACAAATAAATATTGATCAATGTGTGCATGCCTGCGTGCATAGTAACTTCCAACAACATTCAATATTAAGATAATTACATAACAAAAGCAAAATTACAAGAAAGCACATATCAAGATCACAGGTGTAACAAATACTTCAGAAGAACACTGACTCAGAAATAATCAGCCAATCTGGGTCAATAGCTTCCTTGTGAAGTATTTCAACGATACTGACAAGCCTTACAGATGACTATTATGAAATTATATGAAACCAGGATAAGGAAGCTCGAAACACATGAACTTATCAAAGTAAGTAAATTACAAAGCAGCCCAGTTCATATTCAATCTCTAGGACCTCAAAATAAACCTAAATATTAATATTGATCAGTCTCTTTTATTTCCAGAATAGAGATTAAATTGCAGTGCCACGAATCTATAGCTGGGGCAAGTTAAAAATAATATTCCATAAGCATGTCAATACACTGAGATACTTGGAGGCACCAGACATTCAATGGCAACAGATCCCTAGCCAAAAGGGAGTATCTAAACAAGTGATCATCTCCAAATAAATTATATCATACTTATAAACACAATGCTCTAAGAACACAGAAAAGTAAATATTTCTCTTTTAATCTTATCATACATGCAAGTCAAAAAGCAAATGGTAAGACAGAGGTTTCAAAATGAAACCACAGAAAACTCATTGCGAACAGTGATGGAGGTAACTGGTTATCTTTACACCAGTACATTCTTTGTAGAATGCAACGTCATAAAGAGAAGAACAGGTAGCTTCCCAAACCATAAGTGTGAGGGGTGACATGAGCTACACAATAATCCAAAGGAAAGGGGACATAACAGAATTAGAATGAGTCATGCTGGTTACCCAACACCGAGGGACACAACAAGCAAACAAACTTTCAAAGCATGTCTCCAATTTTAACTTAATTCCCCCAACATTCAGAGAATTTCAATAGCTATTTGTCTATCTTAATTAAATCAATCTTACTGATCCACCACTATAATAAAAATCTCTCTTCATCAAAATGACTAATTAGGATATCAGGAGGGAGATTAATCAAAAGTACTCAATATGATTTTCTTGTTATCATTCTATATTTTAAAATGGGGGAAAACAGATCTTTCCCATCAATTTGAGTGATATGATCATTTCTGAAAAATAAGAAAAAATGCTAAGATTCTCAGATACATCACCTACATGAGCAGGACCTGAAGCCTAGAAATTTGCAAAGAAACAATCAGCTCTGAAACAAACACTACTTTCATCTTTCATTTAGAAATCATGTATTTTAGACTTAACTCATTCCCACCAATGTCAACATTACCCAGCACAGAATGCCAACCAAGAAACCGACATTCATTCTGTTTGTTATAGTAAGAACTGGCTGCTTCTTGCTTGATGAGAACTGTTCCTATCAAAACTACTGTTCTAGCTCAGAGGTCAGTATTTTCTTAATTAAAAAAAAAGTTTAGAGGAAAAGTAGGCAGTAGGGTGTTCCATGATTTTATTATTATTAGTCATCATCACAAACCTTAGGAGCAACCAGACAGGAAGTACACGAAAGGAGGACAGAGAGAAAGAACTAAAAATAAGTTTGTACAATGTCATGTAGAAAAATAAAAGAACATGTGTCTCTGGTACACTAGGATTCTAGTCTGCAATAATGATAGTTGGGGCATGACTAGAAGGCAAAAATTGATGTGATTTCAGGAGTGCTGCTTGCCTAATGGCAGCATTTCAAACATCAGTTTACAGACAATTAAAATATAGTTCTGAATGGAACAAGGTGGAATGAATTGTACACTTAGTCATTCAAAGATCACTGGTCCTATTATTATTTATGATACACATGTACCATGTGTTTCTTTGTGTGGTTTGTACATATACATATAATACCTACAGAGGCCTAACGTGGGAGTCAGATCCCCTGGGGGAGTTGGTGGGTGCTAGCAGCAGAATTTGATCAGCACAGCAAGGGTTTTTATGCTGGACTATCTCCCCAATCCCAGCCTGATTACAGATTTTACATTTCCAAATGTATTAGCTAGGAAATTCATGAGATAAATAGTTTAAAAAAAAGACTTACCACTAGTATTAAAAGCCATACAGCATACTGGCTTCTCGTGGGCAGGGAAGTGGGCCACAATGCCATCACTGTCTGAGTCCTCACTAACAAGCACCTTCAGGAAAAGAAAGGATGAAGGTTAACCTTAGTCATTAATGGCTTAGAGGACACACCATACACTCCTCAATTCTTCAACAAGATGTTTACACTGCACTGAAGTTATTTTCATCCAACTGAACTCCACTTCAGAAATCCAGATACACAACTCACAGTGGATGAATAATCTCTAAAACCAACCACTTAATATTACTATGTAGAAAGACTTTTCTGAGGGGAAAAATTCACTATTTCCCCTATTATTAAAAAGAGATCAATGAATGAAAAATAATGGAGTATGATACATAACAGTTTGCTTTGTGTTTGGTATTTTTTACACTTTAATATATTATTCAGTGTGCACATAGCATAGGTCCGAGGATAGCTTCTGAAGGAAGCAGTTCTTTTCTATTAAGTGATCTCAGGGATCAGAATCAGGTCATCAGGCTTGGCAGCAACCATCATGGATTTTGAGTTGTGATCTAACTTTAAGATTATAGCAGAAAAAGAAATACTTTGAAAATACTGTTCTACCATGTTACAGAATGCTGGAAGATGAGGCAAGATTCCTGGCCAGCCTGGAGGCAAAACAAGACTGTAGTCTATAGGAATGTTGGAAATATTTACAGGTGCTCAAATTATTCACCAAAAGTATCCCTGACCCTCAAAGATACAGTCAATTATATACCTAAAAGGCACCAAAAGGAATGGACTATTGCAGGGTTTAAGGACATGACAGGTTTACTTGGGATCAATTCACATGCCATAAAGATCACTGACTTCAACTTCACAGTTCAATGAATTTACATAATACTAGATAAACTATCTTAACAATCTGTTTTATAAAATGTCTTCAATTATTATCTTTAAATTTCCTGTCATATTGCTCTGGATAGACCTCTACTTCAGCCAATGAACTCAATCTTCTCAAAGAATTATTTTCTGTGATTTTTTAAAAATTATTTTTCTCATTTATGTTCAGATTATTAGTTCTTCATTTAAGGAAGAGAGTTGGTTTGGGGGAGTTCTTTCTTTCTTTCTTTCTTCCTTTGGTTTTGGTTTTGTGAGCCTTGGTTTCTCAGTGTAACAATCCTACCTGCCCTGGAAATCAATTTGTAGACCAGGCTGGCCTTGAACTCACAGAAACCTGCCTGATTCTGCCTTCCAAGCGCTGGGACTAAAGGCATGTATGTGACATCTCCACCCAGCACTCCATTTTTTTTAAGGTTATATACTGTTATCTTCTTTGGGTTTCTTTCTTAAGGAGAAAGTTCAGAATACCTTCCTCTCCAAGTAAGCACTGAAATATCTACATTTTGTTACACATAATACGATAAACAGTACATTTTATCTTTATCAAGTTCAAAATACTTTATATTAAGCATCTTTGATTGGCGTTGGAATGATTTACAAATCCACTGTTTACTGACAAATATTTAGAGATCTCCTTAATTTATTTTGACGATGCATTAAGAAGGCTCAGCAGTTAAAAGTCCTTGTCCCACAAACCTGACTACTTAAGGGTCAGTGGAAGCACTAACATCTATAACTTGTCTACTGACCCCACATGTATGACATGACAAGCATGTAGGTGCAGGCACAGGAAAGCCAGACAGAAAGACATACAAGATTATAACTATTCTAATACTATTAATGTTTACATAAATTACTTTCATAAAAATGTTGGCTTTCAAGCTAATCTTTCTAGATACCTTTGAATTTGATTCTACTTATCGGAGTAACACAAAGATCATTAATATAGTAGACGTTAAATATGCTATGTACTTCAGTAAGTCAAAACTATAGGCTATCCAAACAATAATTTAAAAAAAAATAGCTTAGTGAGGGTCCTAGCATACACCTAAAATCCCTGGGAGGTTAAGGCAGGAAGGTTTGGGTGTTACTGCTTCTAGTAATTTCTTAGTGGTCCCTAAGCAGACCATGATATGTATATCAATATCCCCTTTTGTCAATTCTAGTAAAATGTGGGCCCTTGGTCAAATGCATATTTTCTCCAGAGAGATATCACACTTCTGTGTAATACCAACTCAAAAATTGACAAATATGTCCTCTTTAACAGTCCTCCAAATATTAAAAAAATGAAAAAAGGGAAACATGTATGTATCTTTTCGCTTTCTGTTCCCTGGATAATTTCTGTTGTGTGTTCTGTATTTATGGATGAAAGTCTTGCTGTGTAACTCAAGCTCACAGGCAATCTCTTTGGGCTAAGACCTGCCTCCTGCTTCTACTTTGTGACTCATGAGGCTAAAGGACTATGCCACTACAACTGGCTGTCATTTCTTCAAACATCATTTCTGTCCTTCTCTTCCCTATTTTTAAAGATTTCAAATGCAAGTGCCCAATATTCAGAGTATCATTTGAAAGGCTTCTGGGCTAGGCTGGCAATATCGCTGTATAGTCCTAAGTACTAGAAGATGAACACCTCCGAATGCCAGTACTGGACAGCATCCCCACACTTTTCCTGCCAATTTGACCTTTTTACAGAGAATACAAGTATTTGGGGATTCACCAATGGACCAACTTAAGTAAGAGTCTCTCTAGCAGAGACTCTCTTCATTCTATATTCCGACAGAAATATGTGAAAAGAATGTTGATGAAATGATTACTCTACAAATAAACATTAAAACCATCAACATTTGACTCCATTTCTGTGGCATTTTCAAATTCACACAAGAGTGGAGAAGTATATTATTGGTTGCCAAAAGAAGGAAGTAACAGGGCAGTGGTATTCATGGCCATTCCAGCATTGGGAGGCAGAGGCAGGCAGTCTTTTTGAGTTTGAGGCCAGCCTGGTCTATGCAGAAATTAGACTGCCTAAAAAATATATATATATAAGTAAGTATAATGTACCCTCCAAATACAAATGAAGAAAATGAGATGTCTTTAGGCTTGAGGGATGACAATACATTATTTCGAAATGAACAGATGCAAATATAGACTATACTCACAAACTTTTGAGTTTCTCAGAGTCTAGTATGTAGTTTTAACTTGCAAACTCCTTATAATGAGATGTGCAGGTGAAATCTAAGTAATTTTATGTGAAATAGCTCTGTCATTTGTCCAATTTCTGTTAAATGTGATTAGAAACTAAGGCAATTAATAATGTTCACTCAATTCCGTAGAAATAGTAAAAACTTTATTGCTTCAAGCAGAAAACATATTAGTCTTGATATACAGGAAACTCAAGGTGCCATGACTGTTCTCCTTACAGAACACACAAAGTCAGACAACTACACACACTAGGAAGTGCTTCATCATTGTGCCCACTAATACCATAATTAGCCCAAAATAACTCTCCGGTAGGAGCTGGCCACTTATCTAAACAGAGTGAATTCAGATCAACAACTATACTAAACAATAGAACACACCTTAATTACTACAAGGTGCATAAGAATACCTAGTCTGGGGCAAAATCTAGATAAGATTAAGGCCACTGTTCTGAAGTATTTTATTTCACTTATTGGTTTTGCCACATTGCTAACTTCGATTACATAAATGTGTAAAAGGCAAATCATACCACTTAACTTCTCCAGTCAAGAAATGCTTTTAAATAAAACATGAAAGTAACAAAGATGAAAATGGACACAAAGTCAATTAAATCCATCCCTCCTTAATGCAGTTACCATGCAATGATCCCATCACCATTAAATCAAATTAATCAATACAGTAACAGAAAGATGGTGAATCAGACTTTATATGCTGCCAGAGTGAATCTGAAACTATAGTCAAGTCTCGGAGGATTTAAGTCACAGAATACAATGTGTAACTCCTGAGATGTATACAGGAAGAAGAGCATGGCAGAGATGGCTAAAAAGCAATGGAATGAGATAGGACCGGTGAGTCTCTGGGGTGATATGCCCTTTAACATTCTGCAGAATAAAACAGCTTGGTTCTTCAAACTGTCTGAAACAGAGGTGTCTTATAAGAACAGATTCATAAAGAGGAAAGACAGCTCTTCTTTACTTCCTCAACACCTATCTCTTTCCTGTTGTAGGATTTATAAATAAATAAATAGATGGCAAACAACAGTGGAAAAAACATTTTTCATGTGTTTAAGTCTTAATAAGGTTCTTTGATTTGTTCACTAATGAATGATAAACTATTGCAACTCCAAATCTATAACGCATTTATTTCCATATTACAAAACCAAAACTTCCCTCCTTCCTTCCATAGCTCCTACATCCTTTGACTGCTTTCCAGGATGGTCCCTGAAATCCAGGATTCAAATGCTGGTAGCTGGGACTAAAGGTATAATATCTAGATGACGTTTGAAAAGAATATATGTGCCTATCCACATCAATTCATGTTTGTTCTCTCTTTCTTTGCTCTCCCCTCCCCTTCTCTGTCCTAACAGTTAATAGAAAAGTTTGGTAGCACATAATTTTTTAAAAAACTCAATACAAACATATAATGTATTTTTGTTAACCTGAAAGTTAAGAAGAAACAGACAATTACTATTACTTAAATTTTAAATAAAACAGAACCAAATTTACGATCACAGAATTTCAAAGAATTTTTCTTTTAATTGCACCAACGTCTACTCTTTCTCAAAGTGCCTTTCCATCCTTCTACAGGAAATAGCACACAAGCAGCTGCCAAATGTAATTTTTCATCAAGATGCTGGCCCATATAGTAGAAGCCAGTTCCTCCACAGAACATACAATACTACAGGTCGATACTTCAGAAACTGACAAATTTTCTAATCATTTTTTCTGAATAGCAAATGAATACCTGTTCAACATTAACCGTGTTTCATAGACCTACTTCCTTTCTAGTTATAAACATTTTAGATTATATTTGTTATAAAGACAACCTTAAGTATCAAGACTTAAAAATATGTCTGTCCAGAAATCTATTTTAAAGGCTAGAACTTGAATGAAATTTCATGACTGACTGAAGAAGGAAGAGGTGGGGGAAGGTTTGAACATCTTACAAACAACATAAGACACAAAGGCAAATTCTCTTCTGTGTTTCACTGAACCACCCCTTCTGAATGATTCTTAACTAGACACAATGTCTGAAGATGCAGGGTATTCTCCAGGCTACTGTCATGTATATTTGCTGGTCTGCAATTTCCAATTTCCATGTGTTTTGGTTTTTTGCTTTTTATGTTTAGAAGGGAGTGTGTTAGCTGGGCATGGTGTTCTTGCCTGTAGCCTCAGCACTCAGAACAATAGGGAAGGAGGATTGCCACTGATGGCCTGGGCAACAGTAAAATGTCTTCCAAAAGCCAAAAGAAAGAAAATGTATTTACAAAGTGCATGATCTGAGACAGGAGAGTGAGGACTTCTTCAGCTTTCCCTTTAGGTTTTAAGCATCAAATAATTGAATCAGTAAGTCGAAAATGTTCCTTGTTTTCCTTGAATGGGAGAAAAAAAATGTGACCCGAAATTATTCCTATTTCCAAAACTACCTTTTGGTTGACTCTAACCTGGGCCCAAGCTCTACAGGTAACACAAATGTCATGCATCTGGAGTTCTTACCTGGCCCTCTCCAACTGTGTCAGTGTCTATGACTGTGATGATGCCTGGCACCAAGGGGCTCCGCCTTGAGTTGCTGTGGATGGCAACATCATCTTCTATCACCCCAGAGGGCAATGTACCTGTAAGCTGAGTCACCACTTTCCCAACCATCGTCAGGCCACTTTTCAATGTCTACATAACAAAAGAGAAAATATATGACTTACAACAAAATGAACAGTCTAAACAGGAATATTCTCTCAAATCAATTTCCTAGCTCCAAGTCCTTATTCTCTTACAGTATTTTATAGAGAAATAAACATCAAAGATGTTCATTCTGCCATTCAACATGATCTCAAACCTTAGAAAAATTAACATGAGTTCAAGGAAATGTCATTGATGGTGTACCAACATCAGTGTGCTAACAATAATGCCACAATTAAATGACAATAATTACAAGTACAGTGCTTTTTTGTTTAATAGGGTAGAAATACGTATTTCTTTTACTGCATCTCCTTAATGTACACATTTTAGAATGCATGACATAAGAAAAGAGTTGGTAATGTGATAATGTGTTTTAAATATTGTGTATCAAGTTTTATATTCACCAAGAATAAGGCTGAGACATTGACAGAATATCTAAGTGGGAAAAGATTAAAATTCTACAATATATCCATACTCTACACTAAGAGTAATGATAGGAACGACTTTCTCCCTCCTTAATAATTATCACACAAATAGGAAGTGTAGTTGACAGGTTTTTTCTTATCTGTGGGAAGAAGCAATCCAATATGGTGTGTTTCTGGTACATTATTCCACTTAAAGCAAGTTAGTAAAGCTATTGCAAATTTTTTTCTTATTCGTAAATCTCAACTTATTGCCCTGATATATATTAATAAAAATTAGGGCAGGGACCGCAGCTCAGTGAGAGTTTGCCACACATGCCAGAAGCCCTAGGTTCAGTCTGTATTGAGAAAGAAAAACAAAAGTGAAATCATGAGCAAAAATGTTCTTAACATAACAGTTGTTTTTTCTTCTGGAAAATAAAAGCTAAAAGAGAAAAAAACTATACCAATAAATTTTTGAAGGAGATTCTTCACATTAAAGCTAGAACAAGCAGCTCATATCATGGACACATTAAAGAATACATGTGGGGAAACAATTATGGGGAAAATAACCTTACCTGTAATAGGGTACATGATCTAACATGTGCATGCATGCATGCATGCATGTGTATTTCTTAGTGGTCTTTTACTTACATCTAGTTCTATTTGTCTTTTTTTCTTACTATGCTACTGCAAAGATAAAGATATTATTACATAGATACTTGGAGCCCTAGAAAGGAAATAATAATTTATACATTTTCTTCATTTCAGACTAGCGATTGAAATTAATGTTTAAACTTTTAGATTTTTCTCACTGCTCTCCTTAATGGTCAACCTGAATTTCTTTATGTAGACTGTAAGAGAGGTTAATTTTCTATGCTGGTGCTAAGAAATTGTTCAAATGAGATTATTTGATTACAATGTTTAAATCTTGATTTATGCTTACTAGCTCTCTCCTAACAGTCTTATATTAATGTCTTTTCTCCCCACTGTGGTCAATTGATTTAATAAAAATGGCCATGTTTTCTCTTGTTACCTGATAACTTAACGACAACAGTTCTGAGAGAGCAACACCATTAGCGCTAATGGATGGAGAGACAACTGATAGGGCAGAGAAAGGTTCAAAATGACAAGGGACCCTGTGACAGACTTGCCTGCATGGGAAGGGAACATACACTACGTCTACAGGATTAAAGGCTGTGAAGGATTTTTCTCACACTTTATTATAGTAACATGGTCAGCCGCCTTAGTGCAACAGTACTAATTTGTGACAGCAGTCTGGCAAAATGATCAGGGATTGAAGAACCTTTAAATAATTTGAATATTTCAGATTGTGCAGAATTGTTCAATTTATTATCTCCATACATGTTTTCTCTATTCCCAGTTAGCGCCTTGCTCTCATTGTATTTTTGTATCCAGTCTAAGTATGCATAAGCTATTTAGATAAAGTGAGGAGGTGTTTGAGTTCTAAAGCATCACATCTGCTACTCACTGTAGAAGTGTTTGGAGATGTGTTTCATGCCAACATGATACAGAACTTAAGAAGGACTGTACATTTTTTACTAGGTTCACTATTTGGAGACAGGCTTTCTCTGTGTAGCCTGGCTGTCCTGGAAGTCATTCTGCAAACCAGCCTGGCCTCGAACTCACAGAGATCTGCCTGCCTCTACCTCTGCCTCTGCCTCCAGAGTGCTGTGATTAAAGGCCTACACCAACATGCCTGGCTCACTTATGACCATTCTCAGGCAAAGTCTTTGTTGATGTAGAAAGCATTCACAGACACCCCTAATTTAGGTGGCTGCAATGATTCTTACACTCTCATTACTTACTACACAAATTGAAGATTTGGTGACTATAAACATGTTTTTTATTTAAGAAAAATAAAAAAGAAATGATGTTTTTACCAATAGTCATTGTTAATTCCAAAGACACATCGAGTTTTCATGACAACATGACTGAAATCCACTGCCTTCCTCTTGTTTTCTTGGTGACTTTTACAATTGCCTTGTGACTTGCTTTCCTACGTTTCTGTCTGCTTTTTTATGTGCCCCAGTTCTATTCATATTCTTTGGCATAAAAGCATGAGCTGATATGCTCAGGGGCAAACACAGAGGATACACAAGCAGACACTTTCACTATGAAAGGTCTTGCTAATAAAGGTTTTGTACCTCTGCGTGGGAATGGCTCCATTAGCACTGATGGTGGGCCTGCAGCAGCTGGGGCACCTCAGAGGTTAATAACGCTTCCTGCTTGCTCTGCATCAATACTGCGGCGCCTGGTTCCCTGGGTCCTTCAGAGGTTTACTCGACAACACTAACAGACTTGGTGTAAGTCGTTTCTTGTGAATTATTGAAACAAACGTTTGGCTGCTAATTGAAGAACACTAATGTGTTTTATAATCACTGCAGTTTGAGATTTTAGCACAAAACAAAACAGTTGCAATTGATTTGTGGGTTTTTGTCCCCCTCGGTTTTAGACTTCTCTAAGTTTTATCTTTGTGCTTGAACGCAGCAGGCAGAACTTTGCTGATCATCTTATTTAAGTATACTTTACAGTTTAACATTCTTAGGAATGTTTTACTTTTGAGACCATTTGCCACTCTTTAGCCATGGATGGTCCAGAACTGATTGTGTAGACCATACTGGCCTAAACCTTGGGACAGTCCTCTTGAAAGACCTATGCACCATACACAGCCAAGGTTCTTAATTTTTGGTACATCTTCACCTAACCAGGTATCTGTTTTGTATTCCTGACCCATAGGTCAATAGGAACAAATTACAAGCAAAATAGATTATGACAGTGGTTAAAGATCATATCTGGACAAAGAGAATTCTAGATTTGAATTTGGGCTCTATCATTATTGGTTAACCGTTTAAGCAGTGTTTTCCTAGCTTCTGACTTCCTCATACATGCCATGGAACACAGGCACATACTCGCATATACACTAAATCAATAAATAAAAAAAAGTGTGTGTGTGTGTGTGTGTGTGTGTGTGTGTGTGTGTGTGTGTGTGTGTATGCGCACACGCGCACACCCGCCCAGCTAGAGAGATGACTCAGCAGTTAAGGGCACAGCTCTTTAAGGAGCAGAGTTCAGATCCCAGCCTGTATCAGGCAGCTCACAATAGCCTGTAACTCCATTTCCAGTGAATCCTCAGACTTCTTCTGGGAACCCAAGGCACCTGGTCCCAGGTGCACACACACACACCACAGATTAACTATACTCTAAGTCCCATCATAATAAGCTAGTTAAACAAATCTACCGATACTCTAGATGTTTTGTGAAATATTGCAGCAGGTGTTGAACATTAGTCAAGACAGTAAAGCGATGGAAGATCAAAACCCAAATACAAGGTAATGCAGGCATCCTGGTGGGGTACACAGGCCTGGAGAAGACACCACATCTCTGGACGTAGGGAGTCAGGTATAGGAATTAGCCTTGCCAAGGGCTTCTACCTGATTAGGCCCCTTTCATTCTTTGGGTTGAAACATAAAGGGATATACAATACAGCTGGGCAAGGTAACACATGCCTATAATTATAACAACCTGGGAAGCTGAGTCAGGATGGCCCCTGTGAGTTCCAGATTAACCTGGTGGCTTTCAGGATGCCTTGTGTGGTTGCGATTCTATGTTATTGTGATGCTGCATCTTGTGGTGTGTGGTGGGAGGTGGCAGAGTAACAATAGAAGAGTCAACATCTTCTTGTATGCTATAGAGCTTTTTAAAATCTTAAGAGTAAATTCTGAAGAATAAGAAACAAAATATCATAAGTGAGAACCAGCAGAGGTGATTAACACTGACAGAAATAGAACCAAAACTAGGACTAGCCATCTTTACTTACTAAGAGTTCAGTCATGTTTTTGTTAAGTATAACAAAACTCACTGTTTTTTTAGCAACAAGCACTGTCATACTGTAGGATTACTCCACAGGGAATATGATATATTCTATTTTTGTTTTCTACTATATTTTTACTTACCAGTTGCCAGATCTAACTCTAGTTTGATGTTTTTTCATGATCTTAGCAATTTTTTTAAATCAAGGTAACGTCATCATTTAAAAAAAAAGTAGGCACAATCTTACTGTTCTTATTTTATTTAATACTGTAGTGTTTATTCTCTATTCTATCTTATTTACTGTCATATTTGTGTCTGAGCAATTCAGACACAGAAAGAGAATCACCATGTTGCAAGTGAACCTCCTATTTCAGCCTGCCAAAAAGCTGAGACAACAGGTGTACACCACCATAAATGGCTCATAACTACTTATCCTTAAATTATAAATAGAAAACTAAAGCTATCTTTGGATATTTCTCTGTGTTTAGGTAAGAGGCATGGAGTGCATAGTTAAACATCCCCATGTGGAGTCCAGAGATTCAAGATCATTTTTGATTGGTATAGGATCGCTCACTTGAATCTAAAGCTGTTTTGGCTAGAATGCCTGACCAGCAAGGCCCCAAGATCCTCCCCAGCACTGGAGTTACATACCAGGCCATCAAACTGGTTAAATGGAAGCAGCGGATGTGACCAGAAGTCCTTGGGCTGGCACAGGAAGCATAAAAACCATTGAGCCCTCTCCTCAGCCCCTTTTATAATAATTTTTTCAAGTAAATTTAATACACTCTGGCCAGGCAGTGGTGGCACAATAAAGAAAGCCAGCATGTGGGAGGCGGAGGCGGAGGCAGAGGCAGGTGGATCTCTGTGGTCTACACAGTGGGCTTCAGGACAGCCAGGCTACATAGCGAAAACGGGTCTTAAAAAAAGAAAAGAATTGATAACCAGTCACAAAAAAAGCGCAATGACTATATCTACAGTGTAACAGTAATAGGACAAAGGAAGTATTTGGGATTATAGTAATTCACAGTTACTATGCAATTTGCAATTTGGAACTATTGCATTCCTTGGGAGATCTTATTAACAATAAATACTATCTAGTACCTTATGAGGGAAAATTACCAATTGGGGTAGAAATTAATGCAATTTTTGGATACTTTATATGGAAAAATCCACATAATACTTATGAATCAAAGATTACTGTGTCTGAGAGATGGATGCAGGAGGAATAGAATTCCAGGAGCATCTCCAGCCATAGTGAGTTTGAGGCGAGCAGGGGCTACATGAAAGCCTGTCTCAAAAAACAAAAATAACAAACAAATTTTTAAATGACCTGACAATATTTTACAGGAACTTTAAAATACTCATGCCTTCAGACATGAATCCAAATAAACAGATGATACTATATGGATGCTTTTTGCTGTTTGTTTTCAAAACTATTTAATGATAAACATTTGAGTTGTTTATAAATAAAATTTTCCAACTCAGAATTTAACACATGCTTAAATTAAAAGTGTACCTGAAAATTTAAGTTCCAGAGCTGCGGATACAAAACAGGAATACGGTATTTTGCCTATCACACATAGTGATAAATGCCCTTTTGAAAATTAATCAGACAAAATGTTTTAAACTTAATTTCCCTGGGGAGACAAACTGAGGAGTAGTCAGTGTCACACTCTGTGACTCAGGCTGGCATTGATCTCAGTATGTACCTTGGATTAGCCTGAACTTGCAGGCATCCTCCTGCCTCGGTCCCCCAAGTGTTAGGATTACAACTGTAAGGCAACATGGCTTGTAAATTTTTAGAGCCTAAACAAGGAAGACCTAAATACACACCTCATATCCCAATAAAAAGTAGGGGAATGTAGGGGGCTCAGACTTGTAATTTTGAAGTCATTAACTCTAGCCTCATTTCCATACACCCACAACAAAACACTTTTAAAATGAATCCAGGCCTTTTCCTTTTATATAAGGGAGGGCTAACAACAAACAAAAGCATAAAGTGCAGCCCCAGTGGGTCATTCAAAGTGATGTGCTGTCTGGATCCACATGTATGAGACAGTTAAGTTCAGGGGCCTAACATTCAAAGCGGCACCTCTTTGTTAAATTACTATAGATGAACTCACACGAGAACACTCAAGAGTTTGCCTAGTTACAGCATTTTTATACAGGAACAGAGCAACATGAACACACAGTGCTTTCAGTGTAAAGACTTTACCTTCCTCTGCTTGTGAGTGAAGTGAGTGTAGCACTTCTCCCATCAAGCCTGGGGACACATTCTAATGCACACCATGCAAGCATCTGTGACAATCTTGAAGTATTTTTGTATTTAACATAAAACAGTGTGACCTTTGATTCCCTCTGTGGCTGACTTTGGACTGTTGTCTTCTGAGAAGTTGTGCTTCCTATTACATGCTGTCATGCAAATTCTCTCTGTCATCCTATTATTAGAATCGCTCTGTTGTAGACTTCACAATTCAAAAGGATGGTGGTTGTAAGAATACCTTATAATCAGCACAAAGTTTACCAGACAGCGTCAAAATTAATCCTCACACACAGAGAGAAGTCACTAGACAAACAGCAAGGGGCCAGCCTCTAGATATGAAAGAATCTTTGAATGTGCCAGGGGACCAACTCAAGTTTTCATGAGGAAATTTCGAAATCAAGAAGACTCAAATTTATTCAAAGATGCAGAGAGATGTACACAACCCTGTCAGTGTAGGTATGAAGATGCAAATCACAGAAAAAAGAACCCACATTGCCACTTAAAACATATACAATTGACTGCAATATGGTATTAATTAGTTACCAGGCCTGAATCCGGTTGAAATACATCCAGGCTTTTAATGGAGTAAGTGCAAACCATACAGTCTTCACAATAAAAGAAACTATTAACCTTGAAAGATTAACTTCCAAATCACAAAAGGGCAAAACATTCTGACTTCTTACATTCATCCTACACTTGTGAAAAAAATGGAATCTCATCACAATTCTGCAGTCAAACCTGGTTAATTACACCACATAATCACAACTTCTAGAAACTTCTGAGGTACTCACTTTAGCAGCACTAATGACTGTGGCAGTGTAAGACTGAATGTTGTCTCCACAGGCTCCACCACGAGACTGATGACATCGAATCAACTGGAGTAAGGGGGAGAAGAGAACACCAGAGTCATTTTCTATTAAGCTGTTTAACTCTACAGGCTATTAGACAGTGGCTATTTACCATGCATAATAATGATGGTGGCTGGGAATGTTTGCATGAGTGTGCTGCAGACAAAACAGCTAAAAGCCCTGCTGAGACACGTTTACCCCTTTTTATAATCTTCTGGTGCCACTCAGGCAGCTTCATGCTCAACTATGGTTTTAATTACACGATGAACAGGGTTTAAGAATTCATAAACTCTGAAATGGTAGGATTCCGGGTCTGGCAGCCTTTCCACAAATAAATTTAAAAAACATAATCAAAGGACTTACACATAACTTCCTAACATTAAATATTTGACATACTAGCAAATTGGATGTTTTCTCCTCTTAATTCCTCTGCAAGGATTATAAAAGGAAACCTAAAAGAACAGGCAAAACATTTTAGCTTATTTGCATGTCCAATTGTGTCTGTGGGAAAGTGGACAGAGAGTGCACATGGAGTAACTGTCCACTTCGGAGGCCCCAGCATTTGCCACTTGGAGCAGAGTAAATCTGCAACTGTCGATGTGGATGACGATTTGACTCTCACACGCTCAGCAGAAACTCAGGATCAAACTCTTCACTGGCAACAATACACTTGTATTTACCAAAAATAATCATAACTAAGATTCTCATACAACAGTATAAAAGTAAAATGACAATAGCAGGCCATGTGCAGAGCATGATATTGTAACAGATAATTTCAAAGTCTGTGAAATTAATAAATAAAATTTGAAAAACACCTTTTATGACCTAAAATTGGGTTCTTTGGCACAGAGTACCATGTAATCTTTTTATTCCTAACTCACATGATTTTAAATCCCTCAAAGTAATATGAATGCAACAGACTAGAACACCTTAAACCTGGTACATGAAGCCAAGCTATTTTTCAGGCCATGTCTGTGAAGCCACAATTTACAGAATCCAAGTTTTCTGATCAGTAAAGGTGTTTGTCAGAATAAATGTGGAAAGTGACTATTTTAGCTAATGGAAAGAATGGCTTGTTCACTCAACCGCAAATCCAGTCAAACATGATGAAAATTGTTCCTCTGCTGCCTCCTGCTGCTTAAGCAGGGAAAGACAGTATTGTGCAAAGGCTGAACCATTCTCCTGCTCAGCACAATCCTCAAGGACAGCAAACATCCTCAGCCACTACACCATCTCACCATCAGGACAAGAGCAAGTTACATACACATATAAAGTAGTTAACATTACATACAAAGAGGAAAGGAGGTTTTCATAATAAAATAAGACGAATAAATATTCAAAAACAAATAGAAAAATACCCTTAACCACTTCAGTTTAACTACAACTGATGATTTGTATATGAAAATATAGTCAGAAACAGCCTAGAAAAAATTACATTTGTATCTTTTTTTAAACAAAATCAATGTACAAATGGACTAATTTCTGGGAAATGAGCATTAAGGAATAAATACCTTATGTTACCTTTCGTAAAAGGGAACTATATATAACTACATACATATATATACAGTATATATATACAGTATATATATAGTACATTGGCACATAAAATATGAATGTATATAAAAATAAACACAATTTCACATTAAATGAAAGTCTAATAAAAATGGAAGAAGAACAAAAGGGGAAAATGACCAACCAATAAAAATAACTATGAAATGGTTCAGCAGATGAAGGGATTTGCCACCCATATAGTAGAGAAGAAAAATAACTTCAAGTTGTTCTCTGGCTTCCATACATGCTTGTGGACATGTGTGCCCAGAAACAGACACATATACACATGAATAAAATTATTTTAAAAAAGAACAAGAAATCTAAATGCCCCATGAAGACAGGTGAACTGTACACCTGCAGTTTTAGGCAACAGTGGCAGCAGGCATGCCTCTGGTTTGCCTACTGAGGTGGTAAGGGTAAGAAATCTGTGACTACTTTTTAATTATAGGACATGCACAGGCACACACACACATACACACACACATACTTAAGCACACAATCTGAAAAAAATGTTCTTCTAATTTTAAGCCAACTTTGCTAAGCACTGTTATTTATGATTCTTTCTGCGCACGATGGCAATGCATACCCTGCTTGGTCCCTGCATGTGACAGGAACTATTATTCACACGTCTATCTACAAAGACAGAGAACAAAATGCAACTCTCAAGGGAGTTGCTTCTTCTCAAAAACAGTAGGTAACTAATCAAACCTCCAACTACAAATGTGCAGATTTCCGCATGTGGGACTATATTGGCAAGTGCCAAGGATGGTTTATACACTTTCTTTGTGTATGTCTCTAGCACTCAAGGGAAATGCATTACAGATATAAACATTAGGAGACACCATTATGTCACCCCATTTAACTGTACAGCTCTTGCTATTTTTACGGGAAAATGAAGAGACCAGACAAGAAGGAGTATAAATAGAGCATTCAATAACATGCAAAATATCTTAATTTTTGTAGACAGGCTTTTGGAAAAGGAATTAAGGACTTCATCTAGAAAAATGACTTTCATCAGCCCATTCTTGATTCTGCACATTCCAAAGGCCAGTTGATTTACGAGTTCTGTGGCTTCACTAAGTACTTACTTTAAGTACCACATCCTGATTTTGTCAAGAGCTATTTTGTACTATTTCATAATATTCTCAAGATACAATAACCATATTACCAAGAAAAATGAAACAAAAATGCTAATCCTCCTTGCATAAAATCAAAATATATGTTTTACATTGTATTGTACATAAATAAAACGCTGAGAGAGAGAGAGAGAGAGAGAGAGAGAGAGAGAGAGAGAGAGAGAGAGAGACATAGATATCCATATCCAACAATTAGCTGCTGATAATATAAGACCAATAAAATGGCTCCATGCACCATGATTCCAATCTACTCAAGAAGACAGGCTTCCAATTATTCCTGGAAACTGCTGTCTTTAGAAAGCATTGCTGTAACAGTGAACTTCAGTGCTTATCTCACTATTAAAATATTTCTTGGTAAGCAGCTCTATGCAGAAGCCTTTGTTTAAGGACAGCTATCATGTACTAATATATGCTGCTAGTCCCAGCATTTGGGTGAATGCAAGAGGATGGGGACATCCTGAGCTTAAGAGACCCTAACACAAAAACAAAAGAAGAAAATATGATTTTTCTATTTGAGGTAAAGGCTTACCATATATGGCTGGCCTGGTACCCCAGGTTAGCCCAAATCTTGAGTGATCCTCCTACCACTGACTTCCAAGTGCAAGAATCAAAGATATGTACCACCAGACCCATGTATGAATCCTTAACAGTCAAATTAGTAGATGTACAAGTAAAACTAAGCAAAGAAAAATTCACTATTGTGTTTTGTCAACAGATAATCAATACAAAATGTACAAAGTCTTTCTACACCTGACCCATCACAACTAACCCAACCTTACCTTACCTTACCTTGTTTTCTGCATAAGCAAGCCAGCGGCTCCCAAGAGCAATAGGATTCATGTTTGGCCCAGGACAAGGATAACAACCTACAAGTTCCAAAGAGCATTATTAAGGAATTTCATAATAACTTTTTCAATACCTCATCACTTCTTGATAAAAGGAAAACACAAAAATCAAATGCTTAATTTTTTAAAAACCCCATAAAATCCAAATAATAGTATTTATTGTTTTGTTTTGTTTTGTTTTGAGACAAGATCTTTCGGTGTAGTCCTGGGTATGTGCCACCATGCCTGGTCCAGTATTCATTATTTTAATACTTAAATACTTAAACAGAATTCTTAAATTATGTTTACCTTCCTGATGTATGCTCTCTGCTCCACTGACTCAGGAAGACCTGGTAACCACTTTTTACTAAGCATTTATACTGTTATTCCTCAAGAACAAGATGAAGTTAGAAGGAAATGACTTAAAGCTCTTAAGTTTGACGTTCATAAATGTAAAAGAAATTTTTGGAGAGGAGAGAAAGAAAACAATAGGTCAGGAAGTTAAGGGCAAGAGACCAATTAAAACCAGACACTAAGAAAATGATGCTAGCACAATGATGGAAAACCAAGGCCAAAGGAATGTGGCAATGAGCATAAAGAACCCTCAAAGGATACCTCATCAGAAAGATTCTGGAAAACTAGGTAATGCAACTCCATTTCATTCTTCTTGGTTCCAATGCCAGCTATTAATAGAATAAATGGTTCTATGATGTCTTTCTTGTTTATCATTTCCATACTCTTGATTAGGGGTACCACAGATTAAGGACTGTTCCCTTCTCTTTAGGGTTGACTCTCTAGGGAACGGTGGTGTTGCTGTCACTGCTGAGTGCATATTATGCTGACATACACAAAGACAACACACTGCAGTACTTACAGACTTGAAATTAGCATTATCTTAACTAAAATGAGACACCTGAATGCTACATCACATTTAAGATCTTCAGAATTAGCTTTAAAGGCCAAATAGGGTGGTGGGGGCAGGAACATCAAGACTTACAGGGCATGTGAAGAGTGGCCTCAAGATCAGTCAAGACTAGTCTCAAAAAAAAAATCGAAAGTCTAAACATTACCTAGCTTCAAATAAGCTCTCATAACTAGGACCACTGATATTAGATGCTATTACAATGTCTTCTTTACATGTGTAAGTAGAACCAAAGGATGACAAATTATTTACTGGAACTCAAGTGAACCTCAGGAATTAGAGGACAATGGAGTGAAAGCAAATTGTGTACTGCTCACCCAAACTACATCAGTCATGCAACACCATCCCAACCTTATAAGCCTAACTCCTCCAACGATTAACTTTGACCTTCAGCTAAACTCTAAAAACCAGCACGGGGGTGTACACATCGGGCAACCCGGACATCTGTAATATTAATGTTTACAAGCCATTTAACAAAGTCAGCAAAGGCCCTAACATAACTCAGGCTTTCCAATGTAAATGAAGAGAGTTCAAGAGCCCCACATCAACTCCTCCACCATGGCAGAAAAACTGTGATGGCTCCCACAGCTAATCTGAGTACTCAGGAGGCTGTGGTAGGAGAGCTGACCTGAGTTTAAGGCCAGCCTGGCCTGGCTTCTTTAAGGAACAAGAAGGTTTTCCAGTTTTGCCTGACATGAGCTCAGAAAGTTGTTCCTAACAGACACTTAACTGGAACACATTAGGTAATTAATACTTCACTACTCTCTGCCCTGTGGCTATGAAGATCAGACTGGCCTCAAGCTCTGAGATCTGCCTGCCTCTTTCTCCAATGTGCCATGACAGAGGTTAAAGGCAAGCAACAATACCACACCATCACACTGGCCTCAGTTAGCTGATACATAACACAGGTACCAGACGAGCCAATGGTGAAAGAAAGATGCTACCTAAGCTGGACATTGGTAGCATATGTCTTTAATCCCAGCACTAGAGAGGCAGAGGCAGGCAGATCTCTGTGAGTTCAAGGCCAGCCTGGTCTACAAGAGCTAGTTCTAGGACAGCCTCCAAAACAATAGAGAGAAGCCCTGTCTCGAAAATACAAAACAACATCATCAACAAAAAATAGCCCACAGAGTCTAATCAGCGCTGCCCATATATTCCTGGGTGTGGGGCCATCTCCTGGAGAATGGGTCACCCATCGGGGCCACACTCTTAAAAAAAATAAACTGTCACCCAGAAGACATCAAAAAGATGCTAGACTCTGTCTTCACATCACATCCAAAAAGTACTTGGGCTAGAGAACTGGCTTAGAAGTTAAGAGATTTTGTTGTTCTTGCAGAGGAACAGAGCTCAATTCCATGAATCCATATGGCAGCCCTCAACTCTCCGTAACTCCAGTTACAGGGGATCTAATGCCCTCTTCTGGCCTCAAAGGCACCAAGCAAAATACACATGCACATATAAATGGTAAAAGTGAATCTAAAAAACTTTTTAATTCATTCAGAATGGATGCTATACTTAAAAGTATAGCATGAAGCAAGGAATGGTAGCACACATCTTTAATTCCAGCACTAAGGAGGCAGAGGCAGGTGGATATGTGAGTTCAAGGTCAGTCTGGACTACAGAGTGAGTTCTAGGTACAAAGAAACCTGGTCTTGAAAACAAAACAACCACACACACACACACACACACACACACACACACACACAAACTACATTGCTAATACATATCTTTAACTGAAAATAGGTTTTTGAAAGACAACATCAAAATGTAACAAGATCAGGACAGACAGCATTTGCAGTTCTTACGGAGGACCTGGGTTCAAAATTCAGTAACCACATGGCAGATTACAACCAACAATAAACTCCATTTCCAAAGATTCAATGCCCTGATCTGGTTCTGTGTACAGGAGTAACACATGTGAAACAAATACACATATGCAGTCAAAACATTCATAACACAAAATTTTTAACAAGTAAAAAAAAACCTACCAGCAGAATACAGGAATATGTTTGCAACCCATATGTGATGACAAGTGACCTATTTTAGAAAATCTTAACAACTCAATATTGAGATATTTTCTATTTAAAATTGAACTAAGATATACATTGACAAATATGTGACAAGTAATCGGTATCACTGGCACTAAAAAATATACATATATAATTACAAAAGTTTGCAACCAAATGTTCACTCCCAAGAGAACTGAAATTACATCCACATAAAAACAAGAGTGCGTACACAGTTTCATACAAGCATCACTCTTACATTCCAGAAGGACACACAGAGTAGTATCTGTAAACCAATTAATAGATACATCCCTAACAATCATAAAATTCAGGATCGTTACATAAGGAAGATGTAAGACCTGAACACTATGTGTGGAGATGCATGTCTATAATCATTTCTTGGGACACAGAGGCAGGAGGCTAAGTACTTCCAAGTCAGCCTGGGCTATATAAAACCCAGTCTTGGGGGGGGGGGGTGAACAGAGGGAAGGAGGGAGAGAGAAAATTAAGCAGGAAGGCAATCAGAGGGTCAGGAGGTGAAGGAATAATGAAGGCTACAAACTGACTTGAATGCTATCTCTATGTTCTATTAGACACCAGTCACAAAGATCACATTAGATAAGCATAAGAAAATCTGAATACAATCCAGAAATATGCACACACACGTTAAATATCAATTTGAGGTTTATTTAATCATGCAACTGATTAATGGCCTTTTAAAGTTCTATGAGCTTTGAAGAAATTTGCACATTATTTTCTGTTCATTTTGCATGTATGCAAAACATATGAATTTCAGCACAAAGCTATCCAAAAACTCAATAGGTGGGAATAATGTTCAGGAAACAGAAAAGTCAGTTTAGTTCACTGAACATGCATATACTTGCAGATTTCTCTGCACAGGGCCAGGAGATACCAGAGCAGCCCTCTTTACCTTGTGAAAAACCAAAAGCCATGGAAGTAAATTTAACACACAAATTAACCTAGATGACACAACCACCAATCCTTTCTGCTGTATATTACAAACATGTGGAAGTGGTGGTTCCAAGCCAGGCTGGATAAACAGCAAGGCATTGCTTTCCCAAAATGGAAAAAAAAAAAAAAAGCAAGCAAAGCTGTTCTTACCCAAAATTTTAACTTTGCATTTTAAAGCTACTTTAAACTCATTTCCATGTGTTCCATGTGTTGCTCATCATTAACATAAACAAAGAACAGACATTCTAACACTAATAACATTTGGACTGCACCAATAACTTTCCTTCTCAAACTGAAACACAGGCAGATGCACAGAGTCTGTTTATCAGACACTCTGGGCTCTCTGGAGACTCCATATCTGCCTTACAACTTCAAAGCATCCTTAAAATGACTGCTAATGACATCTATCAGTCTTTGTCTTTTGTTTTCCTACTCATACCTGAGTTTTGAATTTCCACATCGGACAGCTGCTCAGGACCACCTTTTCTGTACATCCAAACACAAAGGTGTCTCCTTTCTCGTCCTATTGGATGCACTCTGTTAACAGTTCTCTATCAGCTCCCTTTACCTGCTTCATCAACTCTTTGGCACAAATCCCCATGATGCCTGCTCTGATGGGCACGGCAGACTCTACTCACTTTACAATACTTTCATTGTATTCATACATAACAAGGCCTTCAGCTAAGAATGCATTATGCAAGAGCTTCCCATTCTACTTCAGAAGTTAAATGTCTGCATGATCAAAAGGACATCCTCATTAAGTGGAGATCTTGTGATTCTACACAGGCTCTGATCTTCCAGAACTGGGTACCAGGCTGGTAAAGAGTTGGTAGAGAGTTTGCTTAGGCTGTGCCCCACTGTAGACTCAATCAACACTGCAGAAACCCGCATGACAGGCATGTGGATAAGGAAGTCAATGTCACCCTAGCTACAGGATGAGGCCAGCCTGGGCTACATTAAACTCTGCCTAACAAACAAACAACCCCACTGGGTGTGAATAAACAGAGACAAGGCACATGCTCCAGGCAAATGAGCTGCCACAAAAGGCGCCATAGAGTGTGCCAATCTCCCACTCCCTATCAGCCTCTGCATCAGTCAACATCCAAACACAAAAGTACACACGACACCTGTATCAACTCTGAATACAGTGGAAGGAATTAGCTGAAGAACTGGGAATGGTGAAGAAATTGGAGAAAAATAACCTTCATTAATACTATGAAGTAGCAGCATTTGCCACATGATTAAGAATTACATCACACTGAATTTGTTTTGAAATGTTCTTTATTGGTGTCTGACGTGTTATTATGTTTGCTTTATTTGATATAGGGTCTCTCTCTACAGCTAAGGCTGTCCTGGAATATGCTATGTAGTCCAGGCCTCAAATTCATAGCAGCCATCTTGTTTCAGGATCAAAGTGCTAGGATTTCAGGTAGAAGCCACTAAATCATAACTTAAATCACTTAAGTAAAGCTTTAATTCACGGACCCTGATTCTTGATGAATATCATCAATCTATCCAACTTCAAATCACTTGCACAAACTCAATCCCTAGATTTCACAATTTAAATAACCAGGACTGAGAATGACACTTTCTAGTCACTAGGACAAGGAAGCATTTATTAATGACGCTCCGCGGCACCGGAGTGAGAAGCTACAATAGTCGCTAATCACAACTGGAAGCAAGAAGTCAGTTTTTGTTGTAGCTTTCTAAACACTTGATGGAGTTTTACTGTTTGGTTGGTTGGTTGGTTGGTTGGCTTGGTTTGGATTTTTAAAAAATATTTGTTTTGTTTCTTTATGTATATGAGTGACCTGTCTTTCTGTACACCAGAAAAGGGAATCAGATCAGATTATAGACAGTTGTGAGCCACCACATGGTTGCTGGGAATTGAACTCAGGACCTTTGGAAGAACAGTCAATGCTCTTAACCACTGAGCTATTTCCCCAGCCCCTGGTTTGGATTTTTTAACTTGTTTTCAATACTGGGTATTGAGCCAGGGCCTCTCGCACACTAAACAAGTGCCACAATGCATACATCAGCAGCTTTGTCACTTTTATTTTTAAAAGTTGCCCACACATACCTGACTTGTAATCCTCCAGGTCTCTCCTTCAACATAGCTATCAAATAAGAACTAAAACATACAAATATATTGTGGGTCTTCGGCAATCTATTAATAGAAGTTTTAAGCCATCCCTAGTCCATGAGAGTTGATGCACAAATTCTGAGGGAGTATGTGAGAATCCCTTTGTGACAGAATACAAGACAATAATGGCTAAGCTATTGGTTGTATGCCACTTACAAAGGCAGAAACCCTGGTGACACTTGCTCAACTGTTCCTCCTCTCATAAACAATTCACACAGTACAAGAGAAACTAATACAGGAAGACATCTTTCTTCAACTATTGGGTAGATCCAAAAACTCATGGTTAAATATTTAGGAATATACAGTAACGGTGTGCCACAGAGACAGACACACACATGGTGGGAGACAGAGAGACAGAGACACACACACATCCCCTCGCCCCCACCCCCCACACCCTGTAACATTATCCCAGCAGTCAGAGGCTGTGGCGGAAGGATGGCAACTTTAATACAATCGTGGGCTAAGCTACAGTGAGGAAGACTCTGTTGAAAGGGAGGAGCAAGGACAAGACAGAAGGCAATGGGGGGGGGGCTAACAATTCTCTGAAGTTTAACATGCCAGTCCCTAACTCTAGCTTTATCAGTACATCCAAACTGTTAACTAGCCGAGGCTGATAATTTTTCACAAATAATGAAAATGTGAACTTTAATTTTAATTCAAATTTAAAAATAATTAAAGTCTATGTCCTTTAAATCAAACAGTAAGGCTAATATACAAATTTAATTAATTTATTTTGTATGTGTTGATAAAGCTATCAAACACATCCAGAGCACAAATTCTAAAAGAAAATTAAAAAAAAAGGGGGGGGGGGACAGAAAGTCAGCTGGTAGGGAAATAGGGATAGCTAGGAAGGTAGGGGTGGGTGGGGAAGTAAGGGTGGGAAGGGAGAGGAGGTAGGGGAGGAGTGGAAGGGGGGGTAGAGTAGATGGGAAGGTTGGGGTGGGAGGGGAAATAGGAGTGGGTAGGAAAATAGAGGGGGGTGGAGAGGTAGGGTGGGTAGGAGATCTGGGTAGATAGAAAGGTGGGGGTAGATGGGGAAGTAGGGTGGACTTATGAAGAACTAGGGGAGGGGAGTGTATGTGCTCAAATACAAATTGTCAAAGAATTTAAAACAATATTATAAAGTTATAAGATAATTATCTAAAAAAGATAATCTCAATTATTATCCCAGTTAATAACTGCTCGTTATTCACTGTTAATATTTTCTATTCTGCCATTTACCACTAATAAGAAAAATAACAACTACTTACAAAAAATTTCTTTGAGATGAAAATTTGAAAACCTTAATTTGCATTTAAAAAAACCTCCTCCCATCAAAGGGTGGGGCCGCTAAGATGGCTCCATGATAAAGCGCGTCTGAGGATCCTAGTTATAACCTTTACAGCCCACAGAAAGACAGTAAAGAAACTCCTAAAAGTGGTTCTCTGACCAACATACATGCTCCATAGCTTGTTTATCCACAAGACACAACAGTAATACAAAATAATTTTTTAAAACAATGGGGGAAGCCAGGCCGTGGTGGCACATACCTTTAATCCCATCACTCAAGAGGCAGAGGCAGGTGGATCTCTGTGAGTTAGGACATCATGGTCTACACAAGGAGCTCCAGGACAGTCAGAACTACACAGAGAAATGCTGTCTGGGAAAAAACAGAAAAAAAATAACAACAAAAAACAACAGTGGGGGGCTCTCAAGGAATGGTTCACATTTACAGTTCCTTATGAGGTGGCTGTAACTCCAGTTCCAGGCCACCAAGACCTCTTCTTGCATCTGAGTGCACCTACACACATACATATACATTTTTAAGAATAAATAAATCTTTAAAAGAAAACCAATGATGTAAGTCTCCACCACCCCATTTTAATGCTCTGAACTACTAAATTGATAGGAATGCATGCTCCAGAATAAAGTTAAATGGGGTCACAACAGAGACACTGAACACTGCAGAAGTCGTTACACCCTTATCTGTAATCAATATCAAACAGCAAAAGATTTAAAAAACACTGTTGAAATGGAATGTCAAATCCATGGGGAGAGCTGACACCTGGATATGACAGAGATACCCACTGTGTCCCAAGTAACTCATCTGCAGCACACAGAGCTACACAACCTTCTGCTGCCTAACTGTTCACATCACACAAGCACCTAAGCATAATGGGTGAACAACTAAAAGGAAACCATTAAGGTTTCATGGTCCACAAAATGTCAAGCATACACTTTACAGAAACATTATTTAATATAATATATAATATAACATGGTGTGTAATTATCTGTAATATATATTGCAGTTATAACAAAGAACTTGTCCTTATAGGAAAGGAATAATATCTACATATACAACTACCTGAGGCTTGATTTGTGGTAGCTACTCAGTAAACATCAATGTAAGTCCACATAGTATTTCAAGTTCATTTCAAAATGAAGACTCATTAAGCTATTTCTGTAAGATATACATATCAGACCCTTTGGAGGGGGAAAGAGAACAATTGGGAGGGTGCTAATATCTTACTGGGCTTCAGGAAAAATAAAATTAAAAACTCTGTGTCCCAAATTGACTAGCATTTTGATAGCTAACTGACCCCTGCTGGCATTTCCAGACTGTCTGTCCTGTACAACTCAGCAGGCCTGCACATTCCAGCTCCTTAAAATTAATTAGCTCATCCCTCACATCCTTCCTCTCTCAGTCCTCCGCCTTTCTGTAAAACCTAGCACCGACTGTGTGTTTGAACACTGGTTGGAACTAGATTCTGGGCTAACTGCTGAGCTCCTGACAGCAGTGAAAGTATTGAGGGAAACGGCAAAGGAAGCGGGTAAATAGTCCTCCAAATCTAAAGTCCTTCCTAGAGCACAGTAAAATCACTTCTCTACATGAAATGCTAAAACAGTGACAGGGACAGTGAGAGGCACTCAATCTGAGTATATAAAAATCTTACGCTATATACAGAAAAACAAGGCAATGCTCTAGCATGGTAAAATTCCTTCCTAAGATTAGAGGCTACTAAGTACTGGGCAGACCATGGCCGAAAACCCACTGCTGACAGGATCCAGTCAGCAACAGAAACATAAACGCACACGACAGGAAGTAAAATGATTTGGTACATACTTGTGACAAAAAATTTTTTTGTGAAAGTACAGCTATCAAAGGCAGCGATTTTCTCCTGCAAGACTACGACCAGGATCCTAAAAATTAGAGGGAAAAACCAAAATGGAAACATGAGTGAGAAATTCTCTGAATTCAATCACAAATAATTAAAATCATACTTTTAAAATAAAACATTTATAATACATAGGGTAGAAATATCTGACTACAAAAATCTGAGAGTAAAAACAATGAAATCGTTCATATAAACAAAGTGACAAATTCTAAAGCTGAAAATGGTCTCTGAACAGTTTCATTTTCGTATTCTGAAATTAAACAGACAACATTTAGAATGGATAATATTAACCAGTTGGCTACATACTAAACATAGTGTTTAATAATATTTAAAGTCAGAATTAGATGTGATTTATGTAACTTATTACTTAAAAAGATTGCAAAATTTCTCAGTATACCCAACAAAATCTGAGATGTTTACCATTTAGTATACACCATTTCTAAATGGGTCAATATAGTAAGATTTAGTAAAATTTGTATAACAGTAATTTTAGAGAACAAACTTCACAAATAATCAGGGGAATAATTTAAAAATATAGAATGTATAATTAAGCTATGATTTTAATGTTCAAAAGAGAAATTAGAGTTGACTATTTCTTGTAGAATAACAAATCCCATGCTAAATAATTATTTCAATAACACATCATTCTTATTATTAAATGAATCACGTATTTTTTGAAATTTTAATGGATAAATCTAATTAATACATGATAAAAACTGAAGGGGAAATAATGAGACTTATTATGAAAAACACATCATACAGTGAAGGGTCTTGAAACGTAGAAAACTTCCACTCGCTGCTGCAGAAGGATTCGAATACTGTTACATTGTACTATTGCTATTGTCACTCAGCTCTGTTGAGAACGTCTCTGTCTGTGGATGAACTTTTTGCTGTTACTAAGTAAATAATCTGTTGAATGCTTTATGTGCACTGTGCATATAATAATAAAAAACGCAGAGAGGCAGTGTCCCCATAAAGGCCACAACAGTAAACTTTACACTCAACAGTAAATTTCACTTGTGTCCTGTAACTAAAGGAAGCCCCAAACATTCTCTCACCCTTCAGTTCCTCACACCCCCAACACCTTTACAGAAAGTATCAACATCTCCAATGTTCCCTTATACAAAATAGCCATTAAAAAAATCTAATAATGTAACATGCAAAACAAAAAAGGAAATATTGCTGAAAGTCAGTAGAAGCTTCCTCAGGTATCAAGAAACATTGCCTGTGATCCCAGACACTTAGAGGAATCAATAGCTTGAGGCAATCCCAAACTATATATATATGGTAAGATCCTATCTGAAGACTATCAGAAACGATATGCACAGACAGACAGACAGACAGACAGACAGACAGACAGACAGACAGACAGACAGGATTACCAGATTACCAATTAAAGAGTTCTGAATTCTGTTTTCAGGGGTTGGGTTCAATTTTAAACTATAAAAATCAAGAGAGAAACTACAATATGCTCAAGTTAAATTATACATAAATCAAAATACATAAAAACATAAAATTGCATGTAGCCTTAAAGCCCTAACCCTTAAAACTATAAAATGGAAAAATACACAGAACACAAATAGTGACCAAAAGAAAAATAAACACTAACAGCATACAAGTCACTACAGGACTAGTCACAAAAAACTTTGTATAAAATAGCCACAGAGCCACAAAGTAAGAAAACATAAACATAACCATACATGTATGTGAGACCAACAACAGAAATTCAAAATGAGTTAATGAGCACTGAAATTAAAAAAAAAAGAAAAGGTGGACAGGGTGGGAAGCTCCTAGCTTGGTACTTGCTGCAGAAGCATAAGGGTCTGAGTTCAGATCCCAGAACTCCCATGAACACCAAAGCCTCTGTATTTCCAGCTTCATAGGGGAAGATAAGGTGCCCAGGGGAAACTAGATACTGAGACTATCCAGAACCAGCAATGGATGTTGGTGGATGATTCTTGACCTCAACACCCTTGAGCACATATGTTCAAGGGCAATTGAAAGCACACACACACACACACACACACACACACACACACACACACACACACACACACACACGGAGGAGGGGAAAGGAGGCTGTAATCCCAAACAGTTGGAAGGCTGCCAGGGGAGTTTGAGCACAGCCTGTACTACATAGTAAGACCCTGTCTAAAAACACAAATGAAACATCAACTTGTGTCATGCATCCCACCTCATCTATCACTAGACACCCACAGTCATCACAGAGACCAAATATAAATCTACAGACAGTAATCGCAACAAATAAAACAACCTAATGGGCATGTGTCACCAAAGACATTAGTTACCAAAACTCATACCAGTAAAATATAATGTCCAAGGATATAATGCTAAATAATCTTGGGTTTTTTGTTTGCATAATACATAAAGAATTTTGAAACCTAAATAGCTTGCGTATCTGGTCCAGATTTAGCTCTATTACATTGCTCTTTTGCCTGTTTTCCCCTGTCAGACATTAGAAATTACTGCACAGATGCACAGTAAAATAATGAACCTTGACACCCTATTAAAAAGTTCTTGATTTTATTTTATTTTTGTGCCATCCACAGTCACTTAAATCCAGAGCTTCTTGGATGGAGAGGGGATGCTTACTCTATTTGTAGCCTAGGCTGGCTCAGCCTCCCAATGGTAGGTACCCATGTCTCTAAAAGAACTCAACTTCCTAAGAGTGTAATAGGTTCTGATGCTAATTAGTATATTGTGATATCTTTTTTCCATTTATTTACTAAAATTTACATATGTAATTTTACTGATTTCAATTAACAATGCAAAACTATTAATATGAAGAATGTAAGGCAGCCCACCCTCACCAAGTCCCTGAAGAGTGGCTCTATGTGACAAATGATTGACCTACATGAGTCACAGTGCTCACAAATCTATGAGAATCATTTTTCTTCCTACAGACAGAGAAAAGCACCTGATCATAAATTAAATCTCCAAAGTGTATACAGCTCAGGCTAGAAAAGTCTTACATCTCTAAGAAACAGTGGCAAGAAAGAAACCTCTGAACAAAGTCAGGTGAGGAGGGAACGAAAAAGGTATGTGATACCTGTTACCTTCAGCCACAGGCAGGACGCCACTGGAGAATTTAGAGCAGAAAGGGGCATGATCGAACTTAAATTCTGGCACTATAATAAAAGTGGGACTACCTGGTGGAATGCAGACAATGAAACAGTGCATATAAAAGACGATGGGAAGCAGGTATAGTGAAAAATAACCAAATTCTATATGCAATATGAAAAAGAGGGGGGCAAAACAAACATTTGGCAAATGATTTTGAATACCGGTGAGATGTGATGGGAAAACTGACACAAGAGACATCAAATCATGGGAACTAATATTAACTAGAACAGGGAGGACAAAAAGAGTTCCTCCTTTCAGAATTGGAGGTGAGGAAGGGGGCCTACAATCAGCATGGAAAGATATGGATGGCAGCTAGGTCCATGGTCCAGACTTAAAATCCCAGGTAATCAGGAGGCAGACATAGGAGAATAGGGTATTCAGGCCTTGCCTGGACCCTAATGGCCCCAAGCATCAAAAATGAGTGGTAAGTGTAATGATGAAGACAATGAGAGTTTATGGAACCAAGGAATCTGCCAAACATGCACACTGTGCAGGTACAATGAAAGAGGAACACCATGCATTCTCCAGAAAAAAGGGAGGCCAAGCATGGGAGCAAAATCCTGGAAGCTGGCACAAGTTCAAGGCTACCTTGGGTCACAAGGTGAAACCTCATTGTCTCAGAAAAGCAAAGGATGAATCAGAAGTGAGATGAGACAGCAAGGGCAGGGTGTAGAAAGGCGCCCTGCTGCAGCACACAGCCCCCCTGCTGCAGCCCACAGCCCCCTGCTGCAGCTCACAGCCCCCCTGCTGCAGCTCACAGCCCCCTGCTGCAGCCCACAGCCCCCCCCCCCGTGTCCCAGGACTAGAACAGGCTGTTCCTGTAGATGCCTTCAATCAAGTTCACCCTGTTAGGGACATGCCTGAAAACAGTTGTCCTCGTGGGCTCTGCATATATAAATTTATGGTCTTCATAAAATTTATATCTACAACTGGCTTCCTGCTAAATTTTTAATATTCTTCCATTTATACAGAGCACCAGCGACTTTTATTAATATCTATTTTTCAAACTGCATAATTTCTTCCTCCTTTTGGTTTTATGACACTGTGGCATGTGTCACAGACTGGCCTCAAGCTGGCTACTTAGCTGAGGATGTCCTTGAACTCAAATCCCCCTGCCTCCATCTCTCAAGTTCTTGTATTACGTGGATATGCCACCATGCCTGGCACACTGGATAATTTCTACTTCCCTTTATCAACATGTTTCAACATCAAGAAGGTTAATAACCCTTGAGCACATTTGAAAACTTTACTAGAGGTGGTTTAGGTTTACTTGTATTTACTGACAGGGCTGGATGCCTGGTTTCTGCTCCCTTTCACACGGTGCAATGTTTTAAACAGGAAGAGGATTTCCTTCCTTGCTTCTCATAGCTGCTTGCTGAAGTTCTGACTTTGACTTTATGTCTACCACACCCAGCATGTGACCTTTACTATCTATCTCTTCTGCTGTTACATCCTCACCTCCTTCAGATGCCCATGCTAACCCAAGTAAGGCAAGTAAGTACGCAAGCCAAGGAAGGGGCCTGGTCTCCGAACTGCTAGCTGCCACTCTCACACTGTTCTAGTCATTCGATGTGCGTGATTAGCCTGGCACTCCAGGTGGAGGATTAAATGCTAATGACAGAAAGAAAATGTATAAAAGCGTCTAAGAATGTTTTTAAGTGACAATGGTTGCTTTGTTTAAATTATCCAATTACTGAAATAACTTCACAGAAAAACACTTCCTCTCCCATGCCTTAATAGCACCAGACTGGGGTCTCATCGGCAAATTCAGGTGGAGATGACAGGATATTCATGGAGCACCCTGAATAAACCCCCTTGGGTATAGTAACTCTTTACCGCAAGTTTGTAGATTGAGAGATCTAGTCCACCCTCAACAGGTCAAGAGACCTTGGTGGAACAAACCCAGAATGACCACAGACTTTGGATGCTGTTCCCTGAGAAGAGCCTTAGGATCCTCTGGGTCACTGCTGCCACCCTGTTTCAGTGATGCTTTGCTCTTACCCACCCTTTGGACATTTACTTATGCTCCAGAAAACTGTCTGCTGCACTAACATAGGAGTTCATGCACATCTGTTACTGCATACATCCCCAGTCCTGTGATTCCTTCAAATAACCTACACTCTGTGCATCCTCTATGGGAAAACTCTGGTCTTCTCAAATCTACCCTCTACCAATTAGCACCATGTTCATTTCCCTGCCATATAACTGCCAATTACTTCTTAGGAGGGCTTGTGAATACTTGCTGCTGATCTCAACTTTGCCAAGTGCAATTACAGAATTCATTCCTGAATCATTGTGTGATGCAGTTATGACAATTCTGTGGCCTGCTTCTCCTGATCCTTGTGTTTCCTGAAGAAAGGCTGGTTCAGTTACGGCTAACGTGTGCTTCTTGGGGAAACCGGAGGCCTTCCTACGAAGCTCTTAAATTTGGCTACACACACATTTTGGCATTAGTTTTTAAACAATATATAATTGCTAACTTTGATTTCCTCTCTAACTTAAGCTCAGCAAACTAAACAAAAAAGAGGCAGTTTTGTTGCTACTTTGTGTGGATTTTAATGGATTTATAATCTAAAGAAAATAATCTGAAAGTCTTCTATTTAGAATGTGATAATGTTCCTTTTTAATAAATCTACTTGGTGCAGGATGGGCAGTTTTCTGGGTAAACTATATTGTCTCCTGGATGTAAACCATTCTACACAGTTTTCTAGGAAATGGGGTGGACACATTCTGCTGGCACTGGTTCACTGTTTCTTCTACTTTATAGGGTTTTGTCCCTGAATTTGAATATACCCACTAGTACCAAGTCCACATATAATTTTCACTATTGTTTTCAGTACTAGATTCTTTCTTCTCTAAGAGCCTATGGTTAATATTTCATTATCACTAGAATTCAGGTAGCTTAATCTATATTTGAATATACTCCCACAATTATAAAGAAGGAAAATGGATCTAATCCCTGTTTTTAACTATATTGTGAAATATGAAGGAATAAAAATATATTAAAACATTGTAGGCTAAATATGGTGATACATGCCTAAATTCCCAACACTGAGGAGGCTGAGCCAAGAGGATAACAAGATCAAAACCAGCCTGGGAAACCGGTAGACTTGGCATCAAAATAATATAAAATTAAGAGGGTGGGGGCAGGCCAGTAAAGTTCTCCAACCAAGTATTATTCGAAAACAATACTCTAGGGCTCAGGTTGAAATTTAATGGTCTGATGCTTGTCTAGGAACATATGCAAGAACCCAGGTTTAACTCTCAGCACTGAAAATAAAGAGATGCACACCATTCCAACATTCCAGTGTTTCTCTGTTTTCTTATGTAAATTCCACTTATATCTCTCTACACTGAATCACAACTCATGGTTAGGTCAGGAGACTGGAAAGTACTCAATGTGAAATCTCAACTATTTCATTGAAAAGAAACTCAAACTTCTTTCAATGACTTGAAAGCACAAAATCGGTAGAGTTCTGCATGTCATGGAGGCACATTACAATCTGAAAATAAATATATGAAAAATACTTACCGTTTGTTGCAGTGTAGATCATAAATGGGTGTTTTGAACTGAATGGACTTCACCATTTCCCCAGTTCGGAGTGAGTACAGATCCACAGAGCAATACGGTGGTGTCGTACTGCAAAACAAACACTACTGTAAGAAAGCAGGGAAGACAGCACACCAGCCATTTTCTTAGCACATGGCATTAAGAAATTTATTCAAACTGGGCAGTGCTGGCACACACAGTTGATCCCAGTGCTTTGGAGGAAGAGGCAGGCGAATATCTGTGAGTTAGAGTCCAGCCTGGTCTACAGAGTGAGTATCAGGACAGCCTCCAGAGCTAAGACAAACCCTGTCTTGCAAATAAAAAAAAACAAAGAACAAGAAGAAGGAGAAGGAGGAGAGGAAGAGGACCGGTAGAAAATAAAGAAATCCAAATGTTACCACACAAAATAAAAATAATCCACCCAGGCAATTCATTTATTGCAAATGAAGCATTAGGCCCAGCAGGGTGATCCAAGACTTTAATCCAGCACTCAGAAGGCAGAGGCAGGCAGATCTCTGTGAGTTCCAGGGATGGAGGTAGAATGAATGCAATGAAGAAAACAATGATTTTATAATCAATTAATTACATGTTAACTGCAAGGAATATTTACTTAATCTGATTAAAGGATTAAAATGAAGGATGGAGAGATGGCTCAGCAGTTAAGAGCACTGACTGCTCTTTCAGAGGAACAAGCACCCCAATGGCAGCTCACACCTGTCTGTAACTCCAGGATCCAATACCCTCACACAGACATACAGCAGGCAAAACACCAATAAAATAAAAGATCAAAATGACTTTCTTTTGTAATGCATATAAATGTAAAATACTGCAAATGTGATACCAATTAGGCAATAAGTGAAAGCTTCAGTTTAGCAAGGTAGGTCGGTTCTGTGCATAACTGAAAACACAGTTTATGGGAAGGAAAACTGCCTTTATTTGTTTAAAACCTGGTTGTGTGTGTGTGTAAAGCTCAACAGTGTGAAGAAAAAAAAAACACATATAGTGTCCCTGGACATTAAAGACCACTGCTGTGGTTGATACATGGATTTATCAGGGTCACTAAATACAAGGTATACATAAATTTATCATCAGAGCTTATAAATGAAGAAGTTAAGATTTTGAAATACCACACACAGCAGTCTTCAAGTATTCATTTCACAGCGCAAAAAAAAAAAAAAGTTAATTAAATCTTCTGCACAGCAGAAGTCAGGTGTGGCAGTGCACACCTGTAACCCAGAGATGAAGAAGAATCATGAACCCAAGATCACTCTCATGTATATAACGAGCTCTAGACAGCTATCTCAAAATTCAAAAGATCCACTAACACACACGAATGGTAAAGGATCTATATACTTTTCTGGCCAGCTCATTTTTATTGAAAGTATAGCGCTATTAAATTTGATAGTCTTTACTGTTTTTTAATATTAACTGGGAAAGCGCCATAGGTCTAAAAAGGTAACAACTAACTGTTGTGTCTGCATCTGTTAAAATACCTGCATCTGAAGTTGTCCTCTGACCTCCACAAGCACGGCAATGCCACCCGCACACAAACATTCACCAGTAAAATATAGTTCCAGCAAGTAGAGGCACTTGCCACAAGGGTTAACAACCTAAGCTCCATCTCGAGGACTCAGAAAGGGAAAGGGAACTACCTCCCAGGTTGTCTCTGACTTCCATCCACATACACCCTAGGCCACAAGCAAGCCCGAATACTGTTTGCGCTCACATAAATATCCAAATATAATTAAAATTTAAAAACAAATATACTATGTTTTAAAGCCCAAAGATCTCATACTGTAATGTCTTCTTCTCTGTGCAATAGTAGTTGAGTGACAGCCAGGGAACAGCAATCAGGGACACAGAGCACAAAGGGGGCAGAGCAACAGGTGGTATTGGAGAAAATGTTGTTCTGCCATGACAGTGGAAACACACTTTGCATATACACAGAGCAATGGAAGATGGGAGAAATTTTCCTAAAACCTTGAAATCTTATTTTTAAAATTAACAAAATGCAAATATTACACCCAAAATTAATCTTATCTTCTGCTGATAAGAGGGCAATTTAGCAGCCAATGAAACCTAACAAGGAAGGAAAACCTGTGTGTTGTTTACAGAGAGGTGCTCATGACAGTGGCCCGCACAAGGTAACAGAATTCCAACCACTCCACTGGCCCATGCACAGAATTCTTTTTCCAAAATCCTCGTATGGGTGGAAAGGCAATGAAGCCTCACCTCAGTGCTAACTGAACTAACAGGACAGCGCTATAAACAATGGGCATATGGGGAAGCACCTAACCACTAGTAAATAGTCATCTATAATACAAATTCTGACTAATTCGCACATTCTTGAGGCAGCCAACATCTTTCTGCCCATGATGTGGCTATGTGCTTCATGAGCATGCTCAACATCCTTTGGAAAGCCTTACCCATCTATCTGTGTGGAACATAGCGAAGCAGTTTTGGTTTTACTCCTAGGCAGCTGAAGAGAAAGCTTACCGTAAACCACTGGGTCTGCATGTCCCACGACTTGCCATACTGCAAGACAGGCTTTGCTTTGTACTTTAACTGGCCACACGTGCACCACAGAACGTAATGCCATAATAAAATTATATAGTTGCCTAGGTTCTACAAAGCTCAAATAGACTGGCATGCCTATCTATGTGTCTGCCACTGAAACAGACCTATGACCTCACAACAAGATGAATCTGATTCTTTAAAAAGAAAATTGCTACTCGAAATTTTGAAACCCAAGAATGCAACTGAGTTCATTGTAAGTGAAAGGTTGAGTCTAAAGGAAAACAGAAAAAGGATACAACTGCATCGTAGAAAAACTTGCATCAGGCCAAAGCAAGTGTCTTTTTAACACACACGTATTAAAATAAACAATAAATGTAGTTCGCAATTCCTGTCATCAATACAGAAATGGATATAATTCATTTCAACTGACCTAGTCCTTACGTAAGTAAGATGTTTAATAGTAAGTTACAAAGCAAGTGCATTGAAAACATTTATCTAAACAATCTGTTAGCTGTTGTACACCTGACTTATATCCATAAAGGAAGTTATTAATATTTTATGGGGAAATTCCTAATTTTCATGTATTATAATAGCCAAAGGAATGGAATTTATATAGTCAAGTCACTTCAGTGGGAAAGGTTGATTACAACTATTTAAAGATCAAGGCCTTTTTTTCCCCTTTTAATAAAAAAGCTTTCTTTAGAAAGCAACTATAAACCACAAAACAACATGGATTCCAGAATGAGAGAATGATGAAAATAAAATGAATACAGAAGATAAGCATCACTAAGAAATCACCAACACTATCATTTAAATGTATCTATAGTCAAGCAAAAAGAACTGTGCTTACCCAAACCTTTTTATAATCTGAATAATCAAATATCATAAACTCAGGCCTAAATTCTCAAATCCAGAACTAATTACTACAACCTATCAGCTCATTCCCTATAGACTTTCTTTCACATACTCCTTAATAATTAGGAGTTACCATTATAATTTCTGTGTGCTGGCTAACTTTATGTCAGCTTGACACAGGCTAGAGTCATCTAAGATGAGGGAAATCCAATTGAGAAAATGCCTCTGTATGCAAGCCTGGAGGACATTTTCTTAATTAGCAATTGATGGAAAACGTTCCATCCCATTGTGGGTGGTGCCATACCTGGGCTGGTGGTCCTGAATTCTCTAAGAAAGCAGTCTGAGGCAGTCATGAGGATCAATGCAGTAAGCAGCATCCCTCCCTCCACAGCCTCTGCATCAGCTCCTGCCTCCAGGTTCCTGCCCTGTCTGAGTTTCTGTCTTGACTTCCTTCAATGATAGACCACCAGGTAAAAGTGTAAACCAAATAAACTCTTTCTTCCCCAAGTTGCTTTTGGTCATGATCATCACAATAAAAACCTTAGGACAGAAATGATGCCAGGATAGTGGGGTATTGCTATGACAAACCTGACCAACCATGTAGTTTTGGGGAGGAAGGTCTTTGGAACTTTGGTCTGGAAATGCCATTGCATGTTGATAGCTCAGTAGGCTGCTCTGAGGGCTCTTAGATGAGCATATTGAGAGCAGAGTCAGCTCAAGTCAGTTCGGGTCAGCTCAAGCTGAAGAAACAGATGTGATTAGTAAGAGACCAGGGCTCCTAAAGTAAAACTTTGCTCTCCGGGGACGACTGATGCTGGTGGGGTGGAGCAAAGGAATCAGTGGTGATTAAGAAGAGACTAGCATCACTGAAGTGAAATCTTCTGGGATGAGTTTCCTCAGAGTCAGTACACTGAGAGCAGCTGAGGTTGGCACTGGGGTGGAGGGGCTGGAGTCTCTGAGGAAAGGCCAGGAGAGATGTCTGGTGAGAGCAAAGCCAGTTACAGCGTGAGCACACAGCATTTTGGAGATGCCAGTACTGGGAGATGATCACCAAGATGAGCAGCTGCAGCAATGGAGGGGAGCCTGCCCTAGCTTAAAGATTAGTTGTATATGATGCAGAGGGCGGAGGCAGAGTAGTGGCCCAATCCCTCCTGGGGAAGTCCAGAAGATAATGAGTAAATTCCAGATAATACACACTGGGTGATTTACTCTGTTTGATTATGGTTTTGCGTTATTCAGAGTGTGACTGTACCCAGGTTCCTCCCTGTATCTGGGTTATTTTTTTTTATGGGAGCCCCCAGTTGAGAAACTGATTTTTTAAAAAGAGACTTGGGATCTTCACAGAGACTGAACTTTTATGGTGTTTGAAGGGGTAAAGACCACGGAACTTTTAAGCTTGTAAGATGTTTTATATTTGTGATATTATTCTGAGATCTTGAGAATGAACTTAAAAAAAAGTGTTGTTTTAAGTTGAAAAGGTATCAATTTTAGTCTTGTCTCTCTCCCCCCACCCCCATTTAGCAAAACAAGGATCTCTTTGTAGCCCTGGCTGATCCTGGAACTCCATCTGTAGACCAGGCTGGCCTCAAACTCATACAAATCTGCCTGCCTCTGCCTCCCGGAGTGCTGGTATTAGAGAGATGAGCCACCACCGCCCAGCTTCAATTGTGGTGCTTTCATCAAAGCAACAGAACCCTAACTGAGGTCATTAAGAGGCA